AAATAATCAGCCATCTGCTCTAAAAAATAAAGTAAAAATCTAATAAAACCCAGTGACAGATCACTTCACTCATTGAGAGAAACTTGGAACAGTAAGGCTGAAATCAGCTTCATGAAACTGGAGGAGTCACACAACAGGGAGGTTGCAACTAATCTGATGGCATTCACTACATGGAGACACAACACATACTTTAAGTCTTAATTCTTACTACCACTACTACTTCTGTTATTATTATTATTCCTTTTTGGTGTGCTGACAACTTTGAGATGGTTTTTAGTTGATAAGGCTTTTGGGGTTTGAGCTCTTGTGTAGACAAAGGAGGAGATAAGTCTCAACTGGAAACCTTTCTGTCTTATTTCTGAGTGTGATTCTTTTGTGTAATGACTTGGAAGAGTCAATTTGTCACCTTTGGAATGAAGGTATTTAAGAGTCAGGACATTAATTAGGAAAACAACAATTGACTTTATTGAAAGAGTTTAGTTCAACTATATGAACAAGCTGTTTTCAAGCTAGAAGATCTGTTTGGAGCTGGTTTGTGCTGGAATATCACCCACACGAATCTTGTGAGGGAACATTAAGTGACAATATACTGAAAATTATGAAGCTTATGTTGGAGCAAAATCTTTGTGCCTGAGAAGAAAACCAAATGCTCAAAGGAGGAAACATTTACATTCCAGTTTCTAAATTAGCTATTAATTAATTAAATATAAAATTTTGATGTGTTTTTTGCAAACATCCTCACATAATCTAACTTTCTTGCTAATATATTGGTTTTCTTCATGCTTTTCCCCTTTTGTTTAAGCTCTTACCTCAGGCCTTGTTCCAGGACAGGGTGTTATTTCTTTAGACTGCCATGTAGCCTAATAATTGAATTCTTGAGACTATTGTGGACCAACTGGCAATTTAAATTTAGAACTTTTCATCTTAAAAATAAATTAAATGTTTATATATACAATAGACTCTCAACATCCCTGGGGCACCTGAGCTAGTCCTTCCTTCTCCAGAAACCATCCCAGTTTCCTTCTGCTGGCTGAAATTAATAACAGTGAATGTATGAATAAGCAAATAATTTTTTAAAAATACAATAAAAATAATTTTGCTCAGGGCTGCAAATCCACTTCAAATATCTTCTTCCTCTCTTGCACTGTCATTCTTCCTCACAACAATACAAGTCTTAAACACATGCAGTGGAAAATATCCCAGTGTGGGACATGTTCAAAATCAAAATTAGGAAATAGAAATTTTCTCTGGAATACACATTTTTTTAAAGACAGATGCTCACCCCTACAGTCTGATCTTTCTGCTCTTAGGAAAGTCCTTGTTCCTGCTGCTCAGTTGTGCACAAGCAGTGCTGTGGCTCCAGGGGCTCCCTCAGGCTCTCCTCATGCCAAACAAAGGAACACTAATTTTCTGCCTGTAGAAACAGGAGTGCTGGGGCACGGAGACCCTGGATACTACGAGCTCCTTAGAGCTGTACTGCTTTAAGAGGATTCTGCTGTTTGAGAAGGAAGAGTAAGGGGTAGGTGATCCTGTACTCCTGGATCACCCACTATCACTCAGAAACACTACAGAAAAATATGAAAGAATGAATCATAAATAAGTAAATACACATAAATAGATAAATAAATCCACCAGAAGCCCCCAAAAAATAGACAATGCAATTAAAATCATTGCTCTGCCATGATAAAACCAGTGGTAAAGAATTTCTCTCCTTACCTATGTAACTGTTTTTCTCCTAAGAAGCAAGGTCAGTGAAGAGGTTTACTATGCAGGGAGAAAAATAAACAAACAAACAAACAAATAAATATGAACTATGAGAACTACATAGACAGCTTTGATAAAATATTACAAAATATGGTAAAATGCCAGTAATACTGACTGCTTGATGTGCAATCTGCCTATCAGGATGACCGGTGTATTTGATTTACATATTTCTCATTATTATGTGCTAACTATTTCAAGGTAGTAAATATCCTTAATTTTTTTTTTTTTTTTTTTTTGCTGCTTAGAAGCGTTCTATGTTTTTAACAAATATTTGCTGCTTGATCTCCATTGAACTGTGATACTTCACTTTGCATTATTTTGTAATGCCAAAGCTGTGTTCAGCTGGGCAGTAGAAGAGCTCCCACAGAACTCTACTGGGACTCTCACAATGGTAAGTGATGAGCTAGGAGTGGGCTTCAGTCGATTGGTATTTATCTGTGTCAATAAATATATTTTATATATTTTATGGCTCTCAATTCAACTAGAAATTTTTAAAAATTAGTACAACATCTTTACATCTTTAATTAGAGGACAAGAGCAACAAAGAACCTATAAAAAAAAAAAAAAAAAAAAAAGGTGGTTGATGCAATGAGTAGTGCCTTTGTCATCACAGCAAGTCCACTCTGCTCTTGGGCTAGGTCACTCCTCAGTCAGCTTCAAGGACAATCACCACTAATTAACAAAGCTTTTAAACTCTCCCAGGTGGCCCAGACCACTGAGGCACTGTAAGAATATTCAGGTACACAGATCTTAAAGTTGCCTGTCCCTTACGTTGATTTCTTCCAAAATTCAAAGAAGAAACTTCCTTCAACACAATGAAACCAAAAGTATTGTAGTTGCATATTTGTGCCCTCCCCAAATGGCCATCCAAGTCTTTCTCACCAGAGAAGCACATTCCATGCTCCTGATAATTTGGCACATGTATCCATACGCAGAAAAAGACAAAGACTACTCAGGTTGTGCAGATCGACTGTCTCCCTTCTGTAGTTTAATGAGCAGAATTAGGATTAGACACCAAAACTAGAGGTTTGAGTTGGGTTAAATCTATCTGATGGCATCCACCTGGAGTTAGTCAAGTGGCAGCAACAGTGTGGTTTCTATTGGAGCTCCATATTTTGGGCTGAAAAAGGGTTGCAAAGTAAACAATGCTAATGCCTTGCATCTGAGGTTAGATTTTTTTATTGTGGTGCATGCTAGCAGAAACTCTTTTTTATAGACAAACACGATTTCTTTGAAGAAACAAAGAACTCTACCACCAGTTTCTCCTCCTAACTGTAAGGACGTGCAGTATCACGGATAACCTCGCTAGACCCGAGGGATGGTATCATTACTGTGCTTTGATATGCAGATATTGGGAGCTGCTATTCCTATCCTGCTGGTTTTACATTTAGCCTATGGAAAAACAAACAGGTTCTCTGGTGTTCTCCCTGTGCCCATCCCTCCTGCCTGCCCAGGTTGTACAGCTGCAGTGGACGGGCCGTGGTCCAGGAGGAGCAGGTCCTGCTGCTGACCACAGACACACAGCTGCTGGTGTGACCAAGCCACTGACCATCAGCTCCTGCCTCAGAGCATCACACACCACACAAGCCCCAATCATTCCAGGGACTTCTTAAAAATACTCTAGACCCCTTTTAATTTAAGCCATAATTGATAGCTGGCTCTGGCAAAGAGCAATTTCGCAGGCGTCAAGAGTTTAATTGCAGCCACGCGAACGAGCTTCCCTTGAGTCACAGCTACCCAGTGTCACCAAGGAGCATTCCCTGAGTCACACCAGCCCAGCCACCTGCCCTTTCCAGCAGGAGCAGAAAAAAAAACCACACACACCTGTAGAAAGACAGGTCCTTAAAAATAAATAAACAGCTTGTCTCCTGGTGGGGGTCAGGCTCTTCTCTCAGGTAACTTGGGGCGGGATGAGAGGATCTGGTCGTAAGCTGTGCCAGGGGAGGTTTAGGTTGGACAACAGTTAGAATTTATTCTTGGAAGGAGCGATTAGACACTGGAGTGGATGCCCAGGGAGGCGGCGGAGTCACAGTCCATAGAGGGAAAGTCACCATTCCTGGTTAAGGAAAGACTGGGCATGGCACTCAGTCTGCTTGGCACCATGATGTTCGGTCATAAGTTGTACTCCATGACTTCCCAGCTCTTTTCCAACCTATTTGACTGTGTGATTCTCCCAGCCGCCTCCAAGCAATCCCAACCCGCATACGAGGCTGGGGCGGGTGGCCAGCCGTGATTGAGCCGGAGGCGGGACTCGAACCCGCGCCTCCAGACCCGCAGGCTCCTCCCCGCGCTCCCGGGGGGCCGAGCCGCGCAGGCGCAGCGGGCGCGGCCGGGCGGGGGCGCTGCGGGGCGGCGGCGCGGGGCCGCCATGGCTGACGCGGCGGGCGGGGCGGAGTCGGGCACGCAGGTGAGGCGCGGCCCCCGCCCCGCTCCGCGGCCCCGCGCTGGGGCACACGGGCGGGGGCAGCCGGGCGAGGCTGCCGCCGGGGAGAAGGGGCGCGCTGAGCCTCCCCGCCCCGCCCGCACGGGAGCCCCGCGGGGCCTCTGAGGGGCGGTGCGTGAGGGAGGGCGTTCCGCCCCCGGAAGGCCGCGGGGCTCTCCCGGCGGAGCTCCCGCGGATCCGGGAGGGATCGGGGCTCCCCGGGTCCCTGTTCTGCCTTTGTGTCGGGATGCGGGTGGATTCCTGCCATGGGCGCTTCTTGCAGCGCGGGGGGAGCTTGGTTCGAGTGTCTCGATAATTCCTTTATAAATATTCCCTTCCCAAGCATTAGAGGCAATGCCTAAGGAAGAGGACCTGTGAGGAAGGTTTAATTTAAAGGTTCGGACTTGATGATCTTAAAGGTCTCTTCCGGCTTTATGATTCTATAAATAAACATTTTGTAATGTGAAATTGCTTTCCTCCTCTTTAGGAGAAAAGAGGTTTGAGTTTTGGGATCTTGTGTTGTTATTAGTTGGTTTGTTTTCTTTTTTTTTTTTAATTTCTGAATGTTTTGTTTGTTAGAAACTTCCACTTGCGATCAGCAACTTAATTGCTTGGAAATTTGCGTGTAACTATACTGGAATGTGCTGTTCACATAAAACAGAAAAGTGTGATAATATATATTGTTAAAGCTCTGTGTGGTTTTTAGTGGGACTTGGGCTTTTAAGCCCTTTTGACACTTTAAAAAAAAATTTCTACCAGATGTCCACTATTGGCAAATAGACACGAATTAAACACATGAGCTATGCTCTTTGTCCAAGGGGTAAATGCATTTATTTGTCCACATGAGTGGTGCTGACAGGGAATGCTCATGGCATCTACTGCCTGCAGTGGGTGGATATCCAACCTGGAACAAGGGAGGAGTTGAGAATCAGTTGGGTTAAGAGAAGTCAGTGTATGAATACAGTGTCCAGACAAAAAATGGTGAAAGTACTTGAAACAGAAAACACTTAATTTAAACCAATACTTCTTTTAATAGTGTCATGCATAAAGTCATATTTTACTGAGTTATACTGAGACCGCAGTGTTGTGCTTTCATTATTGAATGTAATTAATACAACAAATTAGAACTTCTTACAAAACACCTTTGCTTTATCACAATGAAAGTAATGATAAATAGCTTGCATATGTCTTCATGCCCAAAGTTTACAAAAGCTCAATCACAGCGGTTATAGTGGTTGAGAATTAAATTTTGTCTAGTACTCAAGATAGGCTTGTATGTGTAAATAGCCTGTAGGTTAGCTCACAGCCTCTACCAAAGCTGGAGTATTTAATTTGAATTTCTTTAACATTTTAATGAAGTAATCTCTCATTCCTGACAAGACCTATGTGTGTGCTTGCATTGATGCACAGCTCTGTTGAAACCAACAGAGTATGAGCATGTCATGTATTAGTCAGTGGGACTGTCCATATGCATATTTGTTTATTAAAAGGACAATAAATTATAAAAGGCATAGCTGAAATATTTGAGTCCCATCAGCTTTGTCATTAATGACATTTAACTCAGCTGCTGCTGAACTTTTGCTGTACAGCTTATTCTCTACATGTAACTGCACATCTGTGCAGTTTCTTGCTGGCATAATTGCATTTTCAAAAAATACCTAAGAGTGAGGAGCTACCACTAGCAGGTTACTAAAGGGTGGTGTTTTGTGTAAAAAAACGGTGAAGAGAGGCTTAGAGAGGAAGAAATGAGCACCTAGATTTGGATTATAGAATCAGAAGTCTCTAATAGGGGATTTGAAATTTACTTGGGAATTTTTTTCTAAGCTCTCCAAGAGTCTCTCCAGGGGTGCTGTCCTGCTGTGTTCTGTTCATTGTCTGTGACAAATCTTGGGACACATGACATTCACCCTCCAGATTACCCTTTACACAGTCTAGATTTCTCCCCCTCTCATATTCCAGAGCACGTGAGGAGGCAAAATGGGAATGCCTCCCCTGGAACAGAGCCAAGGTGGCTCTTGCTGGGGCAGCCTGTGCTATCCCTCTGTGTAATGTGGGCAGAGGTGAGGGGTGCCTTTGCAGTGTCTCACCTCAGCTTTGCTTCCATCACTGCTGCTGCACTGTGGACAAACCTTTGTGAGAGGAAGGAAAATTGTTGGCTGTTTCTGCCAGAAACCCTGTTGCTCCCAGCATGGCACTAATGAGGCAAGTGCCTTTGGAGATTCTGCTTCAGAACTCGGAAGTAAATACAAGCTTGATAAAAACACAGGTGTGCTATCATCAGCAAATTACCATAAATTACCTTCATGAGCAGTGCTCAGAGAAAGCACCTGTAGTTATTTAAAATTAATACATGAACTTGTCATTTAAATGACAACAGATTAATCTTTAAACGATAGTGATCAATTTACTCTCTCTCAGTAAACTTAAAGAGTTGATAGTCTAAGAGGACAGGAGAGGAGCTCTCTGTTCCAGAAAAAATGAACTGCAGAGGATATATTTGTCGGTGTACAAATTAATTTAGGAGCAGGAGGCTGCAATGTGTTTAGGCCAGCAGTAGTTGTGACTGCTGGCCCCAGCAGTGCCCATCATTGAGCCCCTGTTATCCCTGTGTGCTGCAGCAGTGCTTCCTCTGCTAAGAAGTGAAGAGCATCAGAAAGCAGCAGCCTGTTGTGGTTTTCCTCTTTCCCTCAATTTCCACTGCTGACAAAAAGATGGGAGATTCCTGGTTCTTCCCAGTGGGTGCAGCCTCTCTTCACTGCTGGCCAGAGCTGGAAGAGCTGCACGTGCAGGATCTGCCAAGGCCCTCTTGGTAGTTAAGAGCTGCTGGGTTTTGTGCTCCAAGTTACATTCCTGTATTCTTATGTACATATATCCATCTGGATTTTTGCTTTGTCCAGATCATGGAACCCTGCTGGTTCCCAGGAGTTCGCTATGTGTGTTTTGTGCTTCACAAATGTGTGAAGTGTAATGGAAGGATCTGCTGATCCAGAACAAGGTCAATTCGAGTGGTTTTTTGGCCCTTCAGAGGACAAATCAGAAAACTCTCCTGGATACACGTGAAGAGGCCAAGGCAAACACATTGACATTTTGTTAATGGCAGAGAATCTTAAAATGTCAATTAAAATGTCACACTTAGATTCCCATTGTGACCACTCAAAGCAAACTCAGGACCATTTAATGGAGTTTTATTTTACTCTTAAAGGCAAACACACAACTGTTCAAAGAACTTTTAAGATCATTCAGAGCAAGTGTTGCTCATGGATGTGACAAGGGGGAAAGCAAGAGAAGGCAGCAGTTGTTTGAAGGTGTGTGCTTACTGCTCTCTTGGTCTTGAGGATGGGATAAAACCAAACAGGATTTGTTTTGTTTACATCTTTAAATGACATCTGGGTGTCTTGGGGAATGTAGTATTTAGCACCAGGGTAGGTACTCTGGTGACACTGAGCATCCCATGTGTGCTAATACATGTAAGGAATAACAGCTCTAGTACCAGGGAAAATGTTCATTCTTGCTTTACACAGTGTGTCAGAACTACTAATAGCACAGGTTTTGTGGATACCTGTCTACTTGCTATGCAAATACCTCTCCATTTAAGAAACTGTCCATGATCTTTGAACTAATTAGTTTTACAATGGACTTACTTTATGAGGGGCTTTGGAGAACTTGCTTAACAAATTCAAGCTTGCTTTAGAAAGGTTCTTGCAGAGCCACTGGTGACTAATTACTTTTGAACATTCTTAATCCATACTCTGTTTTAACAAGTAACTATGATATAATAGGATTGTAGCCCAGAGGAGTCCTGTGTAACTTTTCAGGTGAAATGCACATGGTTTTACTTATAAATGCTCAGAGAGGCTGGCTCAGGGGATTGTTGATGAGTAAGGTTTTACCTCTCAGCCAGTATTTTTTTTTTTTTTTTTTTTTTTTTGGGGGGGTGGTTTTTTTTTTTTTTTTTTTTTTTTTTTTTTTTGGAATGGCAGCACTGCTGTGTACTGGAGGTGATCCCTCTCACTAATGTCCCTGAGCAGCCTTTGCTTTTTAAACTTTATTTATCCTCCTATCTCCAGTCCTCAATGCCACTGAATGTGTGCTCCTTGTTTGTAAGGCTGGGACCTTGTGTTGCTGTAGTCCAGCCTATACATTTCCATATGTATTTATGAAAACATTTTTAAAATGAGGCTAATCTTTCAATAGGACTGTTATGGAAAACTGTCAGTTCTTAGAATCCATTGAATTTGTGTCCTGAGGTTCATTATTTTAAGTTAACAGCATGGCTTTTTGTCTTGTCTTTAAAAGCTGCTTGCACGACTTGAGGGCAGAAGTTCTCTGAAGAATCTCGAACCTTGTCTGTTTGCTGAGGAAGGATCTCCTGTTCATGGTAAAAATGTGTCTTCATCCCATTTATGGAAAAATGTTCATGTAAAAGTATTCTCAGAGATAAGCATACAAGTAAATTATTTTGCCCTAGATCAGAATTCTAATTGTTGATGTAGTTCAATACAAACTAGATAAAATGGAATGATGTCAAGTCACCCTTACAAATATTATTAAATAGGCCTCAAAATCTACTTTATGCATATCAAGACACAGGTGTAGGTGAGTAAATACCAAGCTCATTGGTCAGTGTCAGTAGTTTTCCAGCAATTTGTTCTAGAGTCTATCATTAAACCTCTTTGTTTGTTTCTTTCATCAGTGGTCTTGACAACCATCACAAAGTCATAACTGCAGAAATTTGCAAAGAACATGATGTTCAGTAAATAGCAGAGAGTTCAGTGATGAAGAGTTATCTGGGTAAATTAGGATAAGGAGCATGAGCAGACAGTATTTTTCAGTGAAGCCAAGTCATCAAGCCATTCAGTCTTGACCTGAAAAATCCTACGAATACTTAGAATAGAACTTCATAAACAATTCCATTATGGACATAGGTACTAATTAGTTGAATGAGTTCACAGTGTCAGGATCAACATGGCTCATAGAGACCTTCAGTGAGTGAACGAGAATTTCAGATTGGAGAAATGGGGTAAGCTTTCAATGACACCAGTACAAGAAATTTTAAGATCAAGACTGGATATTTTAATGAAAGAAATTAGTGAACTAAACAGAAAATAACACACTATTCAGGAAATCAGACTGATTTTCCAGATTGTGTGAAATTTCATGAATTTCATGATTGAAGAGACAACTCTTATTACACAAGACTAAAAATAATATGAAAAAAGGCATATGAGTGAAGGCATATGCAAAGAGCAGAAAAAGCAATAAAAAGAATCAGGATAATAGATGAGAAATGATGCTTGGTCTCCAAACACAGTCACTGTGAGAGCCTTTGTGTATTGTTTTGCAGCACTAGAAGACACATGTGGGCTTTAGCAGTACATGATTCCTGCCCTGAAAGTTTCCAATGTGACATAACAATGATAAAGGGTGGAGAAATGCTGCTAAGCCAGTGCAGGTAGAATATTTAAATACTCTCATTTCTGAACTGCTGTGTTACTCACAAGAAGAATTAAGGGCCAGGAATGAAATTGGTGTATGCTTCACATGGCTCTCAAATTCTTAATATTTTTTAGAAGATGAGATTTTACTGTATTTTTTTCAAAATATAAATATTAAATGGTCTTTTAGTCTAGGTGTTTGGTATTTTTTAGTCAACTTTATACCCAATGAACAAGTGTTTGAGACTGAACTGGTTATGTACTGATCAAACAGATTTTAAGATGTTTTCTTGGAGATCACTAACTGCCCTTGCTGCAGTCCATAGTGTTACATAATTTCGTGTTAAATGATCTCTTTTGCTCTTAAAGCTTTATAGGTTGTTCATGTCTGTCTGAAGACTGTTCCAGAGCCTCAATTCTAAGATGGCTGGAAACCTTCTAAAATTCATCACTGATTTCTCTTTGCCAATTGAGCTTTTGAAGCACTTGTATTTTTCTTCTGCTTCCAACAAATGGTATCAATTATTACCCATATTGGTCATGCTTTTTGGCTGACAGTAATGAAGCTGCCTAACATTAGCACAGCCCTTTAGCTGTATATATATATAAATGGACTTCACCTTTTATTACATTTTTGCTCTGTCTTTTAATACTACAGTATTCATGTGAGCCCATGTGTTATTTTGATGTGTGTTCACATTATTATTCAGTCTTAAATCCCTGTTGAAGGCCTACCTCTCCATTTGTCATGAACTTGACTTTTAATGTGTCACTGTGGAATTCTGTAATATGTTGCCCATGAAGTCAGTACTGAACAGGTCTTCATCTAAAATGCTGTGATTAAAGCAGTGAAAATACCTAAATTATTCTTTTTTTTTCTGATGAAATTTAAACCAAACAAATACATGAAGTTCAATAAACTATCCAAAGGTTACATTTTAGTTAAGTGTTCATAACTTGCATGTCAGGGTACTGTAAAATAGGGACAGGTAATATAGGTATTAATGTGATACTCTAATCACTGCTTCTAATTATGATGGACTTGCATATTTGAGAGCACATAAGTACATTAATTACATACCATTTAAGCTCTTCTGGAATGGAGCAAAAGTGACACAAGCATTAAATAATCTTCCACTATTGCCAGTCATATGTCCCCTGTGCTGCTGGTATGAAGGTGTGGGTGTCAGTAAGGCTCTGATGTTCAGCAATTGCATGAACACCCAACATTAACTTGGAATAAATATTAGGCCTTTCTACTTCACTTCTAGATGGTATAAATATTAGTGGCAGCTTCTGCACCGTGTTGTAAATGACCAGCCCAAGAACTTCAAGGTGGCCTAAAATGTGAAACACACAAAGTTATTGCTGAGTGTTCCAACAGCCTGTTTGTATCTGCAGTGTCAGAAAATAGGTGGATTGATTACAGACAAAAATAAGGCTCTTCTCATTCAAGACATAACACTAAACTGATGACTGGGACTGAACACAGTGTTTCAGTTAAAATATATATTATTCTTACATAAATATTTACATTTCTTCAGCATCATTTAGTTTAACCTGCATGCCCATTCATAGAACTGGACTATTATTCTCTTTAGCCTGCCTATAATGAGCCAGTTTAGGCTGCCCTGAGCCAGGCAATGTGTTAGGGGACTCCTTAAAACCTAACTCTTAAATTCACCAGTGCTGAATTTCATGTGAAATCACTCTACTCATCCATCTCCATCTGTTAAATCTTCACAAACTTAAGTTTTTATTAACCCAATTAGTTTGTCTTCTGCATGTTTTGCCAAGCTAATGGAACATTCATCTACTGATATGTTTAATGTCTGCCAACACCAATTCTAATAGCAAAAATTCCTATTAACTTTCTTCCATGTTAAGGGGCTGTTCCTGCTCTCCCTCTCAGCCTGTTCTCATCCTGTGACAGTATTTCTACTAATCCTCCTTTCAAAGTTGTTTTGACATTAATGAATGATGCAAGTCATGATCACTCAGTTTCTTCTGTGACCTACTGTCAGTGTGTCAGAGGCTTCTTAAAAACGTTGCTGGCCTCACTTCCTCCTTTGCTGTGTCATGGTTTGTCCTCTCTGATCCAGAGAAATGAATTTCCCCTCTTATCTTACTGTAACAGCCTGGTTGCTAATTCAATGAAACCCTACATTTATAGATGTTGCTATAAATGCTCCTGTTCTGCACCCGTTCTCCTTGTGGGCAGCTCTTGGATAATCAGGAAGGCACAGAAATCCCTGGCTCTCTTGAGGTTTTCTTGCAGTCCAAGCTGTTACTGTTTTCAGAGTAACTCAAGTGTCTTGGTCAAACTACAAGGTAGCTGTGTATCTCTTTCAGCAATGTCAGACAAACTTTGAGGAGTGCTTTGCTGTTTTCATTAATAAACCACCGCTACAAAAACCTCTGAGAATGATTTTTGTCATTCAGCTTAGAATTTTTACTTAAATAAGTTTTATTACTTCTGCCAAAAAAAACACCCTCATCCAGTGCCATTCTGTAGCACACAGACATCCTGCTAGAATGTCTTCAAATGGAAAAAGAGAAGCATTTATTTCTCAGAATAATTTTTGAATCCAGCAGGTCATATTTTGCTGTAAAGGCAGGTGAAGCAGTCTATTGCCTGTTGGCCCCACTCAGTTACTGGCCTGGATTCAGAAATGCCAATCAGGGTGGCAGAAGTTTTGTGTCGCAGCCAGTGGCAAAAGATACACTTTGTTCCTTATCAAGAGCTGCCTTACACAATTGTTCCAAAATACTGCAAGCGACAAAATAGGAGGGAATGACCTACCCAGCACTTTTAGGAGGAGCTCTTCCAAGCTGGTATCTCACCCTGCCAGGGTGTGGTTAGGTCTCTGGCACAGGCTGTGTGACAGCAGAGCCACTGGCTGCAAGTGTCAGAGTTGGGCACTGCGACCTCTGGGCAGGAAGAGAAAATAAAAACTTAGGTCCCAGGATGTGTACTTATTGTTCATCTCAGAAGTGAGGGAGCCATTCAGAACAGCTTAGTAAGGGCTTGGGAGGCAGTCAAGCTTTTTAATAGATTACAAACTATCTGAAATTCATATAAATCACATTTCTGAGTGTCACTGAAATGGACAGACTTGTCACGTCAGGTGTAAATTGCTTTTATCACCTGCAAAGGGAGAGGAGCTTGGTTTCTTCCCTACCATCCTCCTCCCCTGATCCCAGACTGCATCTTGACATTGTAGGCATTTGGGAATGAGGACATCCTCTAGAAGTTGAGCAGTGACTTGAAAAACCCTGTTAACTCAGGCAGGTACAAACATGTTTAAGGAAAGTTGCAGTTAATTCTCTACTCTTGCATCCCCCTATGGAAAGCTGTTATGCCATTTGCACTTGCCAAGGCCATGGAAATCTCTCACCTTCCTGCAATTACAGTTGTGTGATTCTCCTTACTGCATGTGGTTACCCTTCTGCTTATAAAATCTAAAATGTCATAAATAAATAATCCAGTTCCCAAAATTAGAAATTTATAAAGGGCAGCTAATAAATTAACTTATTCTAGGGTCTTGCTCTGATACAAGACAGCAGAGTCTTTGGATAAAGCTTTAGAGTATCTTGCATTCACATCCAACAAAAGAACTGGTTTCCTAATGAAACGTAATGCTGTTTTTAATTAACATTTTAAATTTTTATGATATGTATTTTATGACCCACATGGATGAGGTAATTAGGCTGAGTCCTTTTATGAACAGAGATCCTTTGCTTCAGACAGAGGCGTTGCCTGGAGTTGAAGGAATCCCTGAGTCTCCCTTGTCAAAAGAAGCAGTTTCACATTATTATCACTACAGTAGAATATAAGTGCCAAATAAACTTGATGGTGTTCTCTTCACCAGTCACAGATTCCTGTAGGAATCTTGTCACATGCAGCATGTGACATCTATGTGAAATGACCTCTAATATGTCAGATTGTTTTTGTTTAGTCCTCTACTTGGTTATTTCTTTATTGTGTGTGCATAGTATAGATGGTTTCTTAGCCAGTTTTGTGTAGCAACTTCCTCTTCTTCTTTATCTGCCTGTAATGATACAGATGAAATCCAGTTGCCAACCTTTTATTGATGGAAATCTCCTAGATGGTGCTGGCAGAGGCTTTCAACCTTTGTTCACACCACGACAATTAACTTCACTTTAGAGGCCTTTCTTGAAAACGGAAAATATCTTTGGTGGATGCTAACGAGGATTTAAACCATTTTATGAATGTCAAAATGCATTTTCCAATTTGTGAAATAGTGAGTATTAGTTCAGAAAACATTGAGAATCAACTCTGGGCTATAAATGCTCTCACCTGACAAGGTGCTGCTTTGTTTTTGCACAGGAGATGTTATTGAATTCCATGGCCCAGAAGGGACGGGAAAAACAGAAATGCTTTATCACCTAATAGCCCGCTGCATCATTCCCAAAGCAGAAGGAGGCCTGGAAGTAGAAGTCATGTTTGTTGACACCGATTACCATTTCGATATGCTCCGGCTGGTCACCATTCTTGAGAACAGACTGGCACAAGGGACAGAAGAAATGATAAAGCAATGCCTGGGAAGGCTTTTCCTTGTGAGCTGCGGTAGTAGCACTCAGTTACTCCTCACTCTCTACTCTCTAGAAAACCTGTTCTGTGCTCATCCCTCGCTCTGTGTTTTGCTTTTAGACAGTTTATCAGCTTTCTATTGGATAGACAGAAGCAATGGAGGGGAGAGTCTTACCTTGCAGGAGATGAACCTGAAGAAATGTGCTAACTTCCTTGAAAAGCTTGTGACACAGCACCACTTGATCCTCTTTGCAACAACACAGACACTAATGCAGAAATCTGCAAACTCTGCAGAAAGCTTTTTACCTTTAAAACTTCCACATGAAACTGATACAGACTACAGACCATACCTCTGTAAATCATGGCAGCAAATGGTAACGCACAGGATGTTTTTCTCTAAGCAGTGTAATTCTGCCAACAGCAAAGCTTTTACTGTAGTTTCTTGCCACCGCAAAAGAAACCAGATAGTAAAACGTTCATTTAGTGTTGCAGAATGTGGAGTTCAGTTTTAACATCAGTTTATTTAGTAAACATTTATCAAATCCTGGTGCTTAAGGCCTGATTAGGTCTAAGTACCTTCTAGTAACTTTTCAACTAGCTGGTTGTTCCTGGGTGATTAATAATTGTCACAATTTTCTTGAAATTCAGTGAAGGGCAGGGAATGGTAAAATTTTTTAATTACTTCAGAAATTCTATCCAAACTATAGAGGACTGTTGACATTACTTGTTTGTGCTTAATCAAGAAAATGGTAACCAAAGACACATTAAAGTCCCAGTGTCCTTCAGCAGTCTGGCCAAATGCCGGTTGGAATTTCTGGGTCTTGCTGCTTTACACTCCTCCTCTTCCAAGCTGCAGAAGTAGGAGCCTATTTGTCTGTGACAGAGGTTGCAAAGAGGCAGAGTTCACACTTTATAAACATTGGCTTTGGTTTATTCCCTGTAGCTTTAGCCATAAGAAATGCCGATTTTGCCTGAAGAAGAAGATTCATTTTCACAGCCTGTTAAATAATGGTGATCCTGACTGTGTTGCTTCTCCTGGCTCTCAGCCTCTTCATTTACAGTAGCAGGTGCTCAGAGGAGAAGGATTTGCAGGTGTTCTGACCCTTAAAAATGTCTGGCATTGAAAAACCTAGTTTCCAAAACTGAAGGAAAAGTAAAGACCCAGCTCTGAGTACCTGTGAGTTTGTGCTGCATGCAGCAAACAGTTTAGTTTTTGGAAATAATTAAGTGCAAGTTATGGGTTATTTTGGGAGTGGAGGTTGTTTTTTGTAGTTTTTCGTTTTTTAAAATGATGCACAGACTTTTTTCTCTGCCCTTCCTCATTATTTCTTTCCACTTCTTTCCCTTCCCCACTCTCTCTAAGAAATCCAGGAATGTCACGCCTCTGGTCTTTACCAATATGTATTTGCTACATGTAGAACATTTGTGTGTAGGATTTGGCATGTAACATGTTGCAATTCTGGCAAAGAAGATTCAGAACTTAAGAGAAAATGCCCTACAGTTCTGGCAAAGAACACCACATTATTTATGAACCTAGAGTGCCCTTTGAAAGCTTCAAAGTATTTTACAAGAAAGAAAATTGCACACAGTACATTATTTAACACAAAAACTTATATTAGCTTACAAATTCAAATTACTCAAACAAGGGGGAAATACTTCTCACAGTGATGTTTGTTCAGTCATGTTGCATAGCAAGTTTTATAGTTTAGATTGAAGAGATTATTAACAAAAATGCATATTAAGAAGTATCTAGCTCAGTATCTTTTTGAGGAAGATGCCTATAAAACTCTTGTTGTGAGACACCTTTGAATTTCCTGACTTCTGAAGCAGCTTTTTCAAGCCGAATGTATGTCTGGAATCCCAGCTTTGTATAGTTCAGTTACCCTCTTGGGTTCAACTGTGTCTGTTCACAATGAGTTGAGTTTAATTATTCTTTCTATTGGAAAACTTCCTTTTTTCCCTTCTCATTTTAAACCTTCCATCTGATCTCTTCTTCTCAACATCAGTTCTTTGACACACGAGCAAACTTTGCCTTTTCAACGTCTCCCCAGAGCTGATGGTTTTATAGAATGTCACTTCATTTGTGCTTTCTCATCCATCAGCACCAATATGTGTTTTATTTCAAAATCTGCATGAGTACATGAATCCATGAAAAAATATATAGCAATCACTCAACCTAGAGTGGACTCAAGTTAAATAGTTTACCATGAGTAGACACTTTCACTATTAACTATGATAAAGGGCATTATTGAATTTTTTTGTAAAAATGGAAAATTTCAAGTAGAATTAGAGAAGTTTAAAACCTGAAAATTCTAGGACTATGTAATTACTAGGAAAAAAAAAAAAACAAAGAGCCCCCCTTTCCATTGGAGAATACAACTCCACTGATGATTAACTTCTTCATAAAATCATATTTGCTAAAGAATATGCTTGAGGAAAAAAAAAAAACCCAACAATGGATATGTTCTGGCATTCCCATCTGGAATTATTCCCATCTTATATTATTCACAATGTATTTTGTATTTTGCATTGTACTATAAAAGAAATGCCTAAATTGAAATGAAGCCAAAGTTCTAGTTGATCAAAAAGAGCACCTCAGGAAATTTTGAAATTTCCCAGTTTTATTTTTACTTTGAATGCAGACAGATTTTTTTAATTCTCTGGTAATTGTAATATTCACGCTCTGCGCATTTGTTTTAGCTGTATAGCAAGCCTGGATTTCTGAGGTACTGAGCATCTGCATATCCCTGTAATGCTGCAGGAGGGACAGGCAGTGCATAATCTGGGAGTTCACTGACCTCATCCTTTGCCAAAATTATGCCATTTGGAAAAATGAACCTTTAGGATACAAGTCTCAGAAAGATGCAGTGATAAAGAACATGGAAAGGAGCAATTTTGTTTGTACCTTAATGTCCTGTGGGCATTAAACATGGGGTTTACCACTTTTTAAGTGCAGAAGTTTCTCAAAATTTTGTACTGATTGTAGTTAGTGGAGACTGCGGTCCATCCTTTTGAACCAGGAACAGTGTATGAAAGGTAGCATTATTCCTGGAATACTCTATTTAATGCAGATTCTCCTCTTTCACCTAGACCTGAGGTACCAGCCTGTCTCCAGCCCACTGTCTCACCTGAGGTGCCCTGAGCTGCTGCAGCTCAGTCTCCCAGGGAGGAAGCACATTTCGGGTTAGTAGATCTGGTTTAAATCAGCCCTGCAGAAAAGCATGCAATACATGTATTCCTGAACGCAGATTTAGCCAGATATTTCTTAGAAATGAAAATCCTTTCATGTCAGTGCCATTGTTCTTCAGCTCAGGGTGGTATTATTAAGGCTTTTGTAGAT